CATGCATCTTTAAATTGCAAAATACAGCATTCAAACAACAAAATTTTGATGCATTTTTATCAATCTTCAAGGACAATTGTAAAATTTGTAATCACAAATACTCAACAAATTATTGTACCGGTATAAAGAAAACTAATAGTGAAAGAAAGATTCTTATCGGAATATGAGATTTTGTGCTACCATTGTAAAGATAATAAAGATTCAGAATGTTTTTAAGAAAGTAATTATCTTCTGAGATGCTATACTTAAAATAAAAAAAATTTAGGCAAGATCCCAGTGAAGACCAGGTGGGTCTTAAATCACACATTGCAGTAGAGGGATTGGTCAACCTACTTACGTATGACAAAGATATTCGTTTGTACTTCACAGAACTGATTGGTTGACACAAATATGTACACAAGTATTCTTTTATGACCTACAAATTAACAATACAATCATTTCACACACCGATAAAGGGTGTGTTCATACACACCCAGTATGGCAGTAGGTCCAAATCATGTACCAGAAGAGAACTAATAAAGGTGTGTAAAGTGGCATAGCACGTAACCCAGTAAAGCAGTCAAGCACCAGTACGGCATTCTTGCTTACTGTCTCTTACCGTGAGAAGGGTTAAAATTCCCAGCCACATTTTCAGGCGAAGTATAAATTTACCGTGCATATAGCGTAAATCAGCTAAGATAATGCGCTGCTAGGGGTTGATGATGATGGCAACGTTGACCCCGACTGTTGACAGTCAGTGAACCATTATCACTGAGTAAACTAGGCATTACAATGAACGACTATATCATGTTGGTATTCAGATATGCACATGGATGACCCATCAGCAATTTGTAGTAAATAAGGTATCAACTATCATAGAGAAGTTCAGTCTTAGTTTACTGAATGATTCTAGAGCCACCCAAAGCGTGTGTCCAGAGGTTGTTGAAAATCCAAATAAATCTGAGTACTATTAATCATTATTTTTTTCCCCCAGGTTTTTCATCGCTACTTTACTTTAAATATAGTTTCAATGAAAAGCAAATATAGTTTTAAAGAGAAGTAGAATACAAAATTGGGGAAAAGAAAAAGATAAATCGTACTAATCGATTTATTTGGAATTTTAGCCTTCAAGAGACTAGGATCACTAGTGACGGAATGGACATTTGGCCATTTTGGGCGAGGGGGGAATGTAAAACCTGTTATTAACAATGTTAGAACGACTCAAAGGAACAAGCTAAAAGCATTCAGGTTTTAACAATACGATGCAATCGAAACAACTTTTTATACCCACATGGTGGACTGGCAAAACAAAACATGTACCAGTATTTTATTCGCAACTCACAGTACGGCGTACATACGCGGCGGTGGCGCTCGTTTATAATGTTTGGTGTTTTACCAGCCCCGTCGGTCTGATTGTGTACTTACGGCGTCATAGTCAAGCAGTTCCATGCAGAAAACACGACGAGTATATTCTAATAATGTCTTACCTCGAGTTTTGAAAGAAACATTTTGATTCACCGGGGAAGAAACAAGCATAATATCACGATCTATGTATCAACAGTATCGCTCTTACAGGTTTTCAACAAGTAACGATATGTGTACACAAACTAGTGACGTTGCAAACTTTGTTAGAAACAATTATGACCAACTTGGGGAGTTCGTGAGCCTCGCTATGAACGCCCTCTTTCGTTTGGGTGTTCAGGTAGGGAAGGAAGTGTGATTGTATCCGACAAAAATCGTTGCCATCCTCCATTATACCGGTCCGAAAATGCACATTTCTACAGAAGATATAAACAACGATAATTAGCTATTCCATTGTGGGTTTCAACAACAAATTTTGATCCGATTTTCGTTCTATAATTTTGAGTTGTGTTCGGGTAACCACACATTGAAGTTCTGTGTCGGCCATCTTTGTATTCATTTCTGTGTACGATTTACAACACATTTTAACTTCGACGAGGCGTAGAATAGAGTTCCTTATTACAGCATGGTTATTTATTAGACTTTCAACGTACTTGTTAAATTACTTGTCAGTAGTTTTGGCCGTAAGACGTAAACAACCCGTTAACAACATTGTTGATATTGTTAACTCGAGTAACTCTTTGCATAATGACTAAATTTACACCATGCATGGAATTTTCATTTTTCAAAGAAAAAAACCCCGAGACAGATCAACTTGTATTGAAATGTGGGCATGGCGTATCGCTCAACAATTTTATATTGCTTTTCATCATTGTGCTGTTCTGTATAGAGACTAGACTGCATTTAATGTCACCACTGATGGCCGCAAAGATTTTGTTGGAAGCAGAGAGCCTTGCGACATGATTTTTGCCCTCAATGTTGCATTCTCTCTTGTTGATTGCATCTGCTCTTTCTCGATCTATGTTATATGGTGTTTTGAACTGTAGACATCGCAAGAATGGAACACTCGAGTTTGTGTCTGTTGTGTTCATATTGCCATGTTTGTTGTACAGGGAGCACTAGACTTGGAATGACTGCCAATCAGATGTTTCTATTGCTACATGACGTATCTGCATAAAGTTGTATGAACTAGAATCGATGCATATCAATCAGCATTGAGTAAAGCCCAATAAACACAATCAAAACAATACAAACTAGATGTGTACAGCGAAGTGACATACATGTATATGGTTCTAAGTATTGTTTTGATTACTAATGCGAAATAATTACCTGTAGTTATAAATGCATTTCGAGTACAATGTGTCAATACAAGTATAAAATTGCTATCCATCAAGCTGCTTTATACATTGATGCATCGTATCGATTGATTTGTATCACTTTTGCAATCAGAATAAGCTTACGCTACTTATTTCATACTTGTTAATCAAAATAAAATATTTAAACCACTAAGTAAGAAAAAAATGG